AATCAAAGGACAAACGTCGAACTGACAAGGGGCAAGTTGCTGGTTCAAATCCACCAATCTATTTGGATAAAAACCAACTAAGGGAAAAACGTCGAACTGACTAGCGGGAGGTCGTTGGTTCAAATCCACCAACTTTCATTTGTTTACTTAATTTGTTGAAGACAAATGCCTGAGCGCGCGGTGACAACTTCAGAGGCATTTTCTTTCTCTAAAGTATGCCTGAATGGAAGAAACATTTTCCATACCATTAAATTTTGTATATTATTAATTTGACCATAGGTTAAAAATAGATTATATTACAATACTAGGACTTTACACTAATAATTTGTTTGTTAATAGTTGGTGGATCAACTCTTCATAAAAAAGAAAAAGCGAGTTTGAACCGAGTTTGTTTGAAGCCCAAACATCCAACAAAAGCGAACCTACGACCGGACCGAATCAGTTATTCAAAAATATAGCCATACTTAATCTGAATTAAATACTTTTCTCAAAAAATGGTTTGCTTCAACAAACTTGTTTTTAAGGAGGAATATTTAAGCGTGTTAATTGAAAGTTTCTAAAATAAGTAATCATATTCTTGAGATAAAAGAAGCTTCGATAAGAAAACCATATCCATATGAATGTAAAAGCACAAACTGTGTGAAATTCACACGAATTCTGAAAAGAAGCACCAACTTTTTGCTTACCTTCTTTTAGGCCTATTCCAAGACGGCTTTTCTATCTGCGCCTTCCACTTGCCTGTATTCGCTTTTTGCACAACTTTAGCTGCCCAAAAACTGACCTGCTCCAAGCTTGATGCGCCCAAAATGTTAATGGCCTTAAAAATGCTTAACACACACACTCACACAAACAAACACACACACACACACTCAGGCGGCACGCACTTCGACCAACTGACATGAAAAAACTTGGCCCATTTTTTTCTTGGGGGCGTTAAACAAATCCTCTATAAAAGTTGACGAGCCGTGCCCAAAATAAAGACAAAACGTTAACAAAACGCTGTTTTTTTTTATTATTTTCTTCACTCGCACTTTCCGAATTTTGGATGCCTTTTTGCTTTGGTATTGCGCGATTTTTGTTATGCCCCGATATTTTCTACACCATTTATGCCATTTAGCTGTCTGCCTTGCTTTACATGTTGCACGTCTGTTAAAACTTTTGTTAGTTTTCCGTCCAATTTTTTGTGTTTTTTTTTGTGGAAGCCCGAAAAATCACTCAAGTGCAACTTGCCAAATAGAATCAGTGGCGTATATGATGTTGCGATTGCCTAACATTACATAAGAGCCCTCCTTTAGCTCGAATTCAAGTTCCGAATGGCCCGGACGATGGTCTGTTGCCTGATGTTTGCAGCTCGCCACGTTACGCGCAGGTGTGAAGCGAAGCGCGGCTGGCGCAAATCTTTATAGAGTTTCAGCCAGGCCAGGCCAGGCCTGGGCTTAGAAGCTGAGCCGCAGAGTCGACCAGCATTAAACCATGGGCAGATTGTTGTGAAAGAAGCTGCCAGCCTATCTGGCGACCTGCACTGATCTGCGGAGTCCGCCCAGCTAACAGCTTTATCTGTATTTGCTGCTTTACTTTCGTTACGATTCGCCGTTAGTTGCCAGACACTCAGAGAAAAGCGCTGTTCGAAGCAATCCTCAACATAACATAGGTATCTCAAAGCAAGAAAAAGCTCTCTCTCTTCAAAAAGGAAGTACAAACTTTCTTAAAGCAAGTTTTCTTTCTCAAAAAAGTCTAGAATTAAGAACAATATACTTAAAACAAGAATTTGCATACTTCAAATATGTTTAAAATGTTCTCACAGGAAGAACAAACTTTCTTAAAGCAAGAACTGTACTCAAAAGACTTCAGAAACAATTCGTTTTATAATACTCCAAAATTAAGTACAAATCATTCTTGTTACTTAAAAAAAAAAAATGTCTTGAATTGAGCACAAAATACTTATAACAAGAATTTGCATAAATAAAATGATCTCGAAGAAAGTTAAGAAACTTTCTTAAATTATATGAGAACTTTTCATTAAATTCTCTTCTAAGATATTAAAAGAAACCAAAAGTATAAGTCTCAAATTAAGCAACAAAATACTTATTACAAGAATTTGCAGGCATAGAAAAAAATCTAAGATATTCTCAAACGAAGCACAAACATGCTAAAATTGAGAACTTTATTTGTGTCATGATGTAAGGAATTTTGCTATAAATATCAGTTTTTGAAGCTACAAATTCTTGGCTGCATATTGAGAAAGTTTGTACATAATTGAAGCACAATATTCTTGACATTTTCTCTGAGTTGCGAAGGTTTGTACTTAATTTAAGCAGAAAATTCTTGATTTTTTCTCTGAGTGCATATTGAGCGGGTTTGTACTTAATTTAAGCACAATATTTTTGATATTTTCTCTGAGTGCATATTGATTTGGTTTGTACTTAGTTTAAGCACAATATTCTTGATATTTTCTCTGAGTGCATTTTGAGATGGATTTTACGAAATTAAAGCACAAAATTCTTGATATTTTCTCTGAGTGCATTTTGAGATGGATTTTACTAAATTAAAGCACGAAATTATAGATAGTTTCTCTTAGTGCACATTGAGAAGGTTTTCACTTAAATCAAGCAAAATATTTTTGATAAATTCTCTGAGTGCATTTTGAGATGGTTTGTACTTAATTTTCTCTGAGTGTATGGCGGAAGCGCAACAGGAACGGGTCTGAGCGTGTTGCATATCTGCTGCTGCTGCTCTTACTGCTGCTCTTACTGCTGCTACTGCAACTGCTGCTGCTTTTACTGCTGCTGCTGCTGCTGCTGCTGCTTGACCCATTACCTTTTGCGTCAAGGTCAACGGCACCTAACTGTAACTGCTGGCAGCGCACATTTAATTGGCCCGTGCAACATTGCAGCAGACGTTTACCAAGCGTGTCTGCGTTAAAATACAAATTACTAATTAGTTTAGTTAACACGTTAAGCGTTAGTTAATTAAACGCTCTGCTTTTGGCCCTACTCGAAGCAAGTTGTGAAAGGCGCTCCCTCGCCTGACCCTGACAGCGGGCGCAAGGGCAGCCCAGCCACTGTGACCAGACCGAGAAACTCTGACCCAATTCAAGCGCCAAAATATGCACTCGATGATTGATCTTCATTTACCTAAATCTTTACAGCATGAAATCCTCTTGAAGATGGGCTGAGCAAATGTACGATCAGGACGAGGAGCTCAGTCGATCTAGCCTTGCTTAGGAAACTACAATAGAGACTTCTACGTAGATCTAGATCTAAACTACAAAAGAGATTAGATAATACACATTATCATTTCGATATCATGCATCCCCTTTCACAATATCGAAATAATATATTTTTAGACATGATTCTTTAATCCAAACTCGAAGTTTAAATTCGTATAATATAATATATAAAGTCTAAATACCAAGTTTAATATTTCTAGCTCTATTAATTCTTGAGTTTTGATTAAAGAATCAAAGTAAATCAATATTTTGAGACATGATTCTTCAAACAAAACTCGAAGATTAAGTTCGTACCAGCCTTAAAATTAGTAGCTCTCTTAAACCTTTAGTTTTGATTAAAGAATCACATCTTAAAATATTTTTATATTTTTTCTGTATATAAATAGAGGTTACGAATATTTCATATTTTGAATATCTGCCACAACTGACAGCAATTCATAAAGGAAGAGCCTTGCGATTTGGTATAAACATATTCTAGACATGCAAAATTTCATAATCGGACTATAAGTACCGAAGTTTATTGAGAATAATTCGTGTGCAGCGGGAAGAAGAAGCAGACGCTGCGTAAAGTCCATGTAGGCATAGATCAAAGCTGTTTATTTGGGCAACTTGGGCGACTGAGCTCGAGGTATCTTCTAGTCGGTCACTCCCTGTTATCTTGATTTTTATTGCGATTGTCTGACCGATAAATTTAGATGAGTGAACAATAGATTTACCTTACAAAGTGTAGAATAATGGGATAACATGTAAATATGAAGCCAGGAGTATTTGTAGCATCAGCTTGGATACAGGGTAGCTCCTAGTCGTGCACTCCCGACTGATGCACTCTTAACTGTTTAATCTATTGGAAACGTACAAAGTGTAGGATTATGGGATTATATATATACATATGCATATAAATATGAAGCCTAGAGTATGTTAAGCATTAGCTTGCCGCTGTGTCCAAATAACTCCTAGTCGGGCAGTCCCGATTGATGTAGGAGTTTGATTAAGTGGAAACTTATAAAGTGAAGAATAATGGGATTATGGGTAAATATGAAGCCTGGAGTATCGATGTCGGCAGCCTGGCGCTGTGTTTAGGGTATCTCCTAGTCGTGTACTCCCAACTGATGCACTCCTGTTTGATTGATAAATATGAAGCATGGAGTATTTATAGAGTTCGCATCACGCTGTTTTCAGGGTATACCATAGTCGGGCACACCCAACTGTTCCAAATTTACAGAGTGTTGGACATTGAGATTATGTGTACATATATATTTATGAAGCCTGGAATATGTTGAGCATTTGCTTGGCGCTGTTTGCAGGGTATCTACCAGTCGTGCACTCCCCACTGTTCCACTCTTCCTTATTTGATTCACTGTAAACTCGAGTCGCGCTTAAGATTGTAGCATTATCATTTTTATTGGGCTTTCTATTTATATAGTTAATTAATTAATTCACATATTTCTTTTTTGTTTTTTTCACATTTTCTTCATACTTGCTTTCATACTCATCAACATGATCGGGCATTCGGAGCCGGAGTCGATTAGCTTAATAGATACTCCTCTCGTGCCGTTTGTAATACATTTTACATAAAGGTTAAGCATACACAAATACATACACATAAATCATTTCATTTCATTTCATTTCGGTTTTGTTTTCTTCTTATCAAAAATCATAAACACAAATTCATTCGGAAGCGTTAAAACTAAATTCAGAATTGTTCGAACTACTTTCTGCTTGTTTAGAGTTTAGTTTTTTAGAGTACAAATAAATAATAAGTGTGTTTAAATAATTAATTGTTAAGGCTACGTTAGTAAAATGTTTTAATTTATACATTTCTTTATACTCTTCGTTTTTTTTTGTAAGTTTCTGTAAACTTTTGTCATTTTTTGTTGTTTCTTTTTTGCATATTCATTTTGAAAACTTTTTATTGCATTTTTTGGTATTTATTTTATATTTTTTTTTTTTGAGTTTTCTCTTTTTTCTTCCAGTGTAAATTGAAACTGTGAACATTAAAAACTACGCATTTACACGGCATTTAAATTTTTTTTTTTCTTTTTACACAATTCTAATTTTTAATTTTTTTTTCTCTTTATTTAAATGTTTTTTTTCTTTGTAGTTGCTAAAATTTTGATATTTTTGTGGCTTTGTTTTTAAATGTTTTTTTTTGTTTTGGTATTTTTTGTGTTCTCTGTTTTTTTTTTTGGCAATTTAAAATACTAATTAAAAGTTTTGCGCGTTGCCAGCGCGCTTTTTTTTTATTATTTTTATTTTTTTTCTTTTGCCATGATTGTTTGAAGAGAGCCAGTTTGCTTGTTGGGAGGCGGCTGGTTGGAGAGGGGGGAGGGGGCGTGTCTGCCGCCCACTAGCAGCACTTGCGATTGTTGTTGGCGCCGCTGAGCAGCTTGCAGTGCTGCATATCGGAGCGGCGCGACCTCTGACCCTTGGCCTGAATGTCGCGCACCTTGTTGGCGCGCTTCATGGCGCTGCGGCAGAGCTGCTGACGCTGCTTCTTGTTGTGGCTCTGCGGAGAGAGAGAGAGAGATTAGAGATAGGCTCCAGTCGAGTCCAGTTTGGGCTACTCACCTTCTGGCTTTGACGAGCCAGCGTCTGCTGCTTCAACTTCTCCGCCGCATGGCGATCGAAGTATGCGTTGTGGTTCCGCGGCGCCTGCTGCGCCTGCTGCTGCTGCTGGACCACAGCTGAGACCGGAGCTGGCTCTGGCTCTGGCTCCGCTGAGCCGAGATCAAGATTAACAAAACTTTCGGTGCCCGCCTGGCTGCTTCTAATACTATGATAAACCGACATGCTGCAGCGTCACAAAATGTAAAGAAAGAATTCGTATTAGTACAAATATCACGTATACGCCGGGGAGTGCGTGCAGTTTTTGTTTAGTTTTTGGGGTGGGGTACAACAAAGATCACCAACCTTGGATGCTCAATCAATAGATTCTCAAAGGGTGATGCTTCCATATTGATTGGCCCAATCGAGGTGAAGCATGGTGGCGGTGTTACGTACCAGGACTCCTCCATCAGCACGCCCGAGCCCAGACCCTTGCCGCCGCTGCTCTCGCTGCCGCTGGGTGAGATTGCGGCAGCTGCGACGACGACGGGCGCATATAGCGACTGGCTGACCGCATTGTCGCTGTCGTCCGGCACAGTTCGGGGCGGGCTGAGGGTCGAGATGCTCAGCGTGCGTGCGGCACGCGTGCGCTGTAAATGATTGCGCTGCTGCTGCGGCCGCGGTCCGCTGTACAAGGAATGCGAATTGATGTGCTGGCGCCGGCGCGTTGTAGCTGCTGCGGTAACAGCTGCACCGCTACCGCTCGGCGCCGCCTTCGACACAGAGAGCTCCTCCTCGGAGTCGCTGCGCGGCAGCGAATCGTCCTCCTCGTCTGCAAGACACAAAATGTACATAAATAAGAGCGATAAGACTGCAATCCTCAAAAGAAAGCAAAAGACTCGAGAATTGAGCAATTAAAGCCTGGAGGTATTCATTCAAACGAGGTTCGATCTGCTCGAGCAGCTGCAACATGTTTGAGGCACAAATTAAACATTCATATTATTAGATCGCAGCAGAAATGCTATAAGAATGCAATCCTCAAAAGAAAGCAAAAGACTCGGGAATTGAGCAATTAAACAATTCCCAAGCCTGGAGATATTCATTCAAACGAGGTTCGATCTGTTCGAGCAGCTGCAACATGTTTGAGCTAACGGTTTGAGTCACAAATTGGACATTCATATTATTAGATCGCAGCAGAAATGCGATAAGACTGCAATCCTCAAAATACTCGCGACTTGAGCTAAACATTGTACTAATAAACGATTCCCAAGCCTGGAGATATTGATTCAAACGAGGTTCGATCTGCTCGAGTAGCTGCAACATGTTCGAGCTAACGGTTTGAGTCAATACAAGTATGCACGTTTAGCTTGAACATAACCGAAATAGAGTCAGTTTAGCTCGAGCTTACTCTTTCGATTGAACCTCAATTTGTGTGCAACTCGAACAGCTCGAGCTTAAATTGTTCGAGTATCCGAAACATATTACGGTTAACTCACCTTCTTTTTCGACAATATACCATTCGTCCTCGTTGAAGTCGTCCTCGATGACGCACTCGCCGTTGGGTGTCAGTAGCTTCGTTAGAGTCGGCGGCTGCTTGCGTTGTCCGCCCTGCTGCTGCTGCTGCTGCTGCTGTTGGAGCTGCTGCTGGTATCGCTGCCTGCCACGCCTATTCTTGGCGCCGCCTCGCTTGCCGTTGCTCAGACGGACAGTGCCACGATTGTTGCCCGCTACGGATGGGGTCGTTGAGGTCACCTCAATTACATCGCCCACAGGCTGATCGTTGCCCGAATCGTTGGCGTTGGTCTGGACAGGATTCGCTTGGCTTGGATTGGTTGACTCGGACGTTGGCTGCGCTCCAAATAGAAACGTTGCGAGACTGCTAAACATTATACAAAGCGAGCGGAGCTGGCTGTGATTGAGTGCTTGATTGATTGTTTGATTGATTGATTGATTGATTGATTGCTTGATATTGCTTATCGGTTTTGAGATCAATATGTTGTGCTTGCTAGAGATTGCTTTAATGGTGCTTTGTTAATTAGATTTGTTTATGTTTTTTTTTTGTTATTTATTTTGTTATTTATTTTGTTGCTCAGTCTTTTATTCCTTTGGACGCGGCGTCTTTTTGCTGCGTTCCGTTTTGTCTTTGTCTGAAAGCAAAAAAAGCGAATTGATAGCAATTTTTTTTTTTAATTAACAAATTGCGTAATCCACACACACACACACCCGCACACCCGCACACCCTGCTTTAATCAACTAAGTTGTGTGTGGGCTACTTGATATTTATTGAATTCCACTTCGTTTTTTTATTGAGCTGGCAATTAAAATTTGCTCTTGGCTCGATTTCAATTGAATTACGTTTTGCCAAATGCGAAAGTGAAATTCGAAATTCGCAATTCGAAATGGAAATCAGTTGCCAATTACTTTGATTACACTAATTACCTTTTTTTCCACTGTGGAAAAATGCGAATTTTCAGTTGCGTTTTATACCCTATAAAACAGGAGAGAAAACCAAATTGGGGCATATTGCTGCTCAAATATATCATGCATTCGATTGAGCAGCTTATTTTTTAATTTTTCATTTAAATATTTAAACGAATTTTTGGAAATCTTTTCTTTTCGATGTCTTTCCCCATTTTCAGCATATCTCTGTCCATATAACATCTAGATACTCTACATTTTCTCTATATCTCATCTAGTCTACCCTCATCAAAAATATCTCTACTTCCCTTCACCCAAATTTGACAGCCTGTTGTTCTTTACAGGGCATCTGCTAGTCGAGCACTCTGAATTGCACTTCGCGTTGACCTGCCATCGAACAGTTTGACAAGCACTGTGTGCTGACAGCTATATTTTGCCTCTATAGTATGTCATAAACGCGACGCTGCACAGCCCATTAAGTTGCCAACTTGATAGCTAGATGCGGTCCCCGCCCCCGCCCCCGCCACGCCCCGTTACGCCCTCGTCTCAGCCTCGCCTCAGCTGTGCATGCGGCGAGCATATGATCAAGGCAATTATATATAAGCACACACACACACACATGCGCACATGCATAACATTTAAATTGAGCGCACGTCATGAGAAATGCTTAAAAGTATCTCTATCTCTCAATTTGTATCTGTATCTATGTACACTGTAACTGTATATCGAGCTGCGTTTTTGTGTGTTAGGGTATTATAATTTGTTCTTTAAATGTGTAATGCTTGGTAGAAGATATCTTCGTCCCCAGTTATATATATATATATATATATATATGTTCTCGATCAGCATCAACAGTCGAGTTGATATATCTATCTATTTCTATGGCAACTATTCTCTATAGTTTTAAAACTATCTTGATGAAACTCTGAACAGTTTTGTCTATCTGCTCTAGGCAGTATATATATTTTCGAACGGAATGGATCGGACCACTATATCATATAGCTGCCATAGGATCAAACTTTCTAAAACTAAGTTTTTGTATAACAAACGTTTTTTGTTTCCCGAGATATCTTGAACAAACTAGGAACAAGTTCACAATTATCAACCGAAGCTTCACTTTATCGGATTACTATATTTATATATATATATTTAAATCTATAGGAAAGATCTTTTTCTCTTTCAGGCTATCTAAAGCAAACCCAGCTCTTATCTCTTATCAGCCTTATGTCTGGCAGGGTATTCAGTCTTCGGCCTGGCGAAACCTCTCGCATGTTTTGTGTTTGTTTTGCTGTTGCTTCTTTGCTGCCACTTTGCCATTTGAATTGCTCTCAAAACGTTTCTGTTGCCAGCTTCAAATGATAATCAAAACTGTGCCAATGGGCAAATGCAAAATGATGGCTCTAGTTTATGGCGATTATCTGTGAAACTGTGACTGTCGAAGCCGTCAAATAAACACACACACACACAGAGAGAGAGACATGGCCAAAACAAAGCAAGACTCAACACAAATCCAATTGCACTCGGCTGCAATTTACAAGTTGACCGCAAAACGAAGCACACGAAGCAGCTAAATAACCAACTCTAGGCTCTCTAGGTTCGCCGTGCGGGCAAGTGAAATCCGCAGAGACACAAAAAATAAAAAAAACCAAGACTTAGTTCAGCTACTAAGTTTAGTCGGAGCTCGCAAACGTGCGACAATTTGCGCAGTCAAATGTCAGCGAAAGTTGACCAAAAGGATTTGATTCGACACAGCGAGAAATGTTTGCAAATACCCTTACAGAGGGTATTCGACTTTTGCCAGCAAATTGGGCAAGGCATAGATTAAATTTCTTATATAGTGTTTCTATTGGGGATGAGTAGATCAGTAGAACGAGTTATCTTAATCAATTTACCTATAAAAATGTATCTATAGAAAAAATCTCTGATAAATTCCTTTTCGAATCGAACCGAGCCGAGAGTGTATTCAACTTTTGGCAGAAAATGAAGAAGGCTTTGAATACAATTTCTGTTAGGGTATATGTATTATCTATCAATAGATAGAATTATCTTAAACAATTTACCTATAAACATGTATCTATACGAAGAATCTCTAATAAATTCCTTTCCGAAATGAATCTGATCTTAAGGCAGGAAGCTGTTTCGAACCGTGGAATCGAACCAAATACATTTTTTGTCTATATATCTGCCAGACTATTTATTTAGACGTCGGTAAACCAAAGAATACTATTATATCTTATACTTAGTCAGCTTTGCTTTGCTAGAACTAATAGCATCAGCTATGGCTAATACTCGTTTACAGTCACAGTCGTAAGTATTTGGTCAGTTGTATACTTGTGCACAAATATAAATTCACATGTAAATCTTGGTATTATATCATAATATGCCACATATTATATATATCTTTCTGGTATTTTAATATCTGGTATTATATCACTATAAACCAGTTATTATATATCTGCCAGCACAAGTCAACTGTTTGCAATTTTTAACATGCATACTTCAAATATGCACTCTATATTTATTAAATATGCAGGCATATATATAATATGTTTTGGGCAGCTGCATTTCGTGCTGGCATATTAAATACGAACACGTTCCAAATCAAACTGCGTCTCAAACATTGGCTTCTACTTTTGTTTTGACATAAACGAAGTAAATCAAACAATTGATAAGACCCTGTGGGGTGTGAGCTAAACAAAGGCAATGACTGCAGGCGCATAAATAAGTATATTTATATATATATATTATATATATATATGTAGATCACTCTTACTTGTTTTCAATAATAACAAATGAAATAAGCAAATAACAAATTGAAAATTTTAATTGAATTTGAACCAGCCACCTCACGTTTGCTGGTTCAACGCTCCCTAACTTGGATGTAGTCAGTCAGTCAGTTAGTCAGAGCAAACTATATAATAAAGATGTATATGCCAGTTGAATTTGAACCAGCCACCCCACGTTTGCTGGTTCAACGCGCCCTAACTTAGTTGTAGTCAGTCAGTCAGTTAGTCAGGGCAAACTATTTAATCTATAAAGAAGTATTTAACAGTTGAATTTGAGCCAGCCACCTCACGTTTGCTGGTTCAACGTGCCCTCACTTGGTAGAAAGCTGCGTCTCAACTGTCGATTCAAAAGATTTAGCAGCTTTAGCAAATATTTCCCAGCTAGAAACTATTTGATATATATAGCTGTATATACTCTATATATACTCTATATATACTCTATATATATATATGCTTGATTTTCACTTTTGTCAGCTGTGTCTGTTTGCAGAGACGTAACCTTGACCATGTAAATGATTTGCCAGCTAGCTAAAAGTGCGCTCATATATAGCGCATGACATCAAAATGGCAATTGTCTTGGCTTTACTAAGACTATATATATATATATATATCTATATACGAGTAGATACAGTATCTAGCGTTTATTTTCGCGAACGACCTTGATCGATGGTTGCCCGCGCTTATATAAGTCTATGTACAATGTATCTATATGTCTATATGGTATCTATATATCGGAAACAGCTTTTGCAGGATTAACTTCTATTGATAAGTTTTTTTTAGTTCATTTTGCCAACTCATTTCGACACGATAAGGCCACGAGCCAGACGAGCTGACTAGACAGCGACAAGAACTAAATTCTAAACAAAATATAATAATATTATATATATTATAATAATAATAAATAGGCATGTGTTATAGCTAAAGTCTGTGGCGTGTGCACAGTCGAGAGTTCAGGCAATGATTAACTCATGGGGGAGGCTGTGCATGCAAATGGGGCTGAGGCTGGCTCTAGTCTAATGAACTTGAACTAATTGACTGTGGCTGGGGTAATACGTAATAGCTGGCGATTGACTGATTGTCCGAATAGCTGGAATACACTCAGAGAAAAGGCGAGGGTTCGCAAGAGAACTCAAAGTTCAAAGAACTATTTTAAATAATTAAATTGTGTGAATATTATTGTTGCTTGAGTTGGAATACACTCAGAAAAAAACAGAGAATTCTCAAGAGAACTCTCCAAAGAATTCTCAAGAGAATTCTCCAGTTCAAATAACTATTTTAAATAATTTAATTGTGTATATATTCTTCTTAATTGAAATTAAGATACGTAAAAGAAATTTTCTAAGTGGAAGCAAAAAATATCTGAAAATTTTCAGCTAGAGAAAAATAGCGCAAAAATGAAAGTAAATTTCTTAAATTAATTCATTTTGTTATTAAATAGAGAAAACACTTCGAATGCTAACTGGGCTGAACCTTGAACAAGTTTGAACTTAAATTCCTAAATTGCTTCGCTTAACTTTTCGCCAAAATGAAAAAACAGAATTTCCCCCGTTTTCTCAGTTGCTGCTGATTTTCGTTATGCATGGCAATAAAATGGCGATTTCGACAGCAAATTAAATTTAATTATCAATTGGCCAACTCAGCGACGATAAGCAAACAAAGCGTTATACTAGATGCATTAGGTAGCTAAAGCTTTTCAGGTACATTGCGCCCACACATAAAAAGCGAAACGAAGAAAAAAAAAACAAAAACTAGACGCGTATCAGTTAACGTATCTAACAAGTTTAAAGCTTTAAGCGGCCTTTGTTTAGGCTCTTTGTTTAACATGTATATATATATATATATATTTTGATTTTTATGACGCTTCAAACTGCAATTAGAAAACTGCAAAAAAAAAGAGAGGCAACCGCAAGGCGCATAATAATAATTAGAATTATGCAATAAGTGCGCACACAGAGACGACGCTGACGTCATTCACGACCTTGGCGTGTACCAAAAAAAAAACAAAATAAAACAAATAAATATGTAAGTAGAAAATGCATCTAATTAGCACGGTGGGTGGGCACCTGGCATCAGCTGTTCGCTCACCTGGTTTGTGGAGAGTAGCACTTTTTTTTTTTTTTTGTATAAATTTAGCTGCGTTTGCGATTTAAAGCTTGTTGCGAATCAAACGAATAGCCAAAAAAGATACAGATACACAGAGAGAGACACAGATACACAGATACAGATACGGATACGTATACGGGGCAAGAGCAACTGCAGATACTGCAAAGTCGACACTCGTTTGCCAACTGAAAACCACAGCGCGCTGAACGGAAGCGTATTTGAATTTCAAAAGAACAAAAGCTACAACTGCGTGTGTGTGTGTGTGCGAGAGTGTACAAGCTGTAAATGTGTCTGTATTTGTATTTGTAGCTGTGTCTGCGGCAGCTGCAGCTTAGTTCAAATTTATTTTTGTTTTTTTCTCCTTTTTGGCTTTACACAATTTATCAACACTTTGGCTTTATCTTAAGCATCGTTTTTATCTTAACCGTTGCATTAGCTATTTACCTAAGTATGTGTGTGCGTGCCTGTGTGTACGTGTGTGCGTATGTATTTGTTTCACTTTTCTTTGCTGCACTTTGCTGTGCTTCGTCGCGTTGCGTTTGCTTTCAAATATCAAAGGCGAATGTCAACGGGACAGCAGCAGCAGCAGCAGCAGCTGCTGCTCAGCGCCAGTTCAAGCCGCGCTGCCGCTGCGCTGCTGCTGTCAGGCAGAGAGCGAGCCAGAGAGGCAGAGCGCACGAGAGAGAGAGAGCGAGAGCGAGAGAGCGCGCGATCGTGCGAGCGTATCTAAGCACATAATTATGTATTTTTTTAAAACGCAAAAAAAGCGACGCCACAAATACACAAGCACACACACACACACACACTTGGTGCTGATGAGTGTCGGTTGCTGCGACGCACAGTGGGGCGAGGGGCGGATTTTCAGCTGGTAAACAAAAGCACAGCAGAGCCAAATTTATGCTACACGAGCGAGCAGCTGAGCAGCCGCCGATCATATGCGCAGCTCGTGTTATTTTGTTTACCAACAAATGACGCGCTCTCACTCTAGCTGTCTCTCTCGCTCACTCGCTCACTCACTCACGCTCTCTCTAATAATTGTGCCCCCTCCCCCTCTCACTCACTCTTTATATGTATACACTTGTGTGTATTTCGTTTAGCTTTTGGCACTGTGCTCAGCGATCAGCTGCGCTGACGTTTGCGCACTGACACACTTTTTTGTGCCGCCCCGCCCCGACTGTTACCCCCCCCCCCCCCCACCCACCCACCTCCGCAACCGTTGTTAGTTTTGTGTATCTCGCAGATACTTTTCCTATAGCCGCCAGACCAAGTGGCTCAGCGTCTGTTGTTTGCTTTTGTAGTTTGTGACTAAGCACTTGGAGAGCGCCACACAAAAGAGCTGCCCAATGTATATTTCTTCTTCTTCTTCTTGTTTTTTTTTCGCTGCGTCTGCTCAAAGTTCAATCTATATAGTTTTTTTTGTATAGACACAATCTAAAATGCCAAGTCACGGTTGGAACAAGTCGCACAATCATTCGAATTCGCATAAAAAAAACATGGGGAATATAACATTAAAAAACGAAGAAGAAGCATAAAGTCAGACATCGACGGCATTCTAATTAACTGAAATATATGTGTGTATATATGGCAAATGTATCAATTTAACAATAGATTTATTTCGCAAGAGTTAAGCGATATGCGACTAACAATCAGATGCTTGACTGTACCTGGCTTGCAGAAATGTGTGTAGATATAATCAAATAATTATTGAAAATTGTAACAAGAAGATAGCTTGTAAAGATAATAAAACTTTTTTAACTTTCTTTTTAGTTTAGATTGTTTGATTTGTTGCTAAAGAATTATTTACCAGCTTCTTTCTGGTTGATATGAAAAGTAATATTAATAATATTTATAAAAATAGGAAGGATGCGGGCTCGAATCCCAGACCAGTGCTGCTTGTAAAATAAATAAAAATAAACCAAATAAATATTATACTATTCTAAACAGCTTTTATATAAATATAGTCAAAATACTTTCTATTGTGCTAAGTCTAAAATACATCCATACATTGGCTTGGGATTCGAACCCTGAAAAATCGTTGTTTATTAGAACGTATTCACTGGATTGGACAGCTCATCTATGAAGAACTGAATTTATGCATATTATAATAAGAGAAATGTCAAATTGTTGAATACATAAAACTTAACTTCTTTAATTGAAATTCCACTTGAATTCGCTTTAATTTCTTTCTTCTTTAGCCCGCGTTATATAACTTTTTCGGCAGCCCACATAAATAACAAAATATTTTCTATAAACAATCGAGCACTTTCATTATTAGAACAACAGCCCATAGCTCGCCTGCACAAAAGCTTTCACATTTTGATAAACATATACATATACATATATTCGATAATATATTGTATATATATGTTGGCAGAAAGCTGCACAACCTCGCGGCCAGGTTCAAGGTGATTTTGTTTGCAGCTCTTTTTGCTTTAATTTCTTTCTTTTTTTTTTTATATTTTTAGACATTTTATCATGCAACAGCTGACGGAACGAAGAGGCCAACAAATTGGTTTGGCCAAAACGACAACAAGAGCGACAACTTGTGGCTATCAACAAGTAAAAGTGCTCTAGTCGAAGGTGAACGACTAGCAGATACCCCTTAGCAAGCAAGCACTCCGACTTTCTACTAAATGTACATACACATAAAAGCACACAAACAAACGCACGCACTCTTCTTCTTCCCTTTGATAACATTATGCTAGGGAAACCCAATCTCTATTAACTTCGGCATTTATAGTCCGATCGTTATGATATTTTCAGGGCTAAGTTATGACAACCAAATGTGTGTGTATACCAAAGCACAAGGCTCTACTCCTCATAGTCTTCGAGTTAGGCTCAGAAATCCATGTCTTAAAATCTGTACTTATCGATATTATGAAAGTATAAGGAGACATTAACTTGTCTTATATAATAACATGGAAAAATCATATCACATTGACTCAACCCCCCATCCCAATCAGGAATATATATATTCTCCTTGTATCAACCTGTTACATTCCTTTGCAAAAAACAAAAACAACCCATTTTCAATGGGTATAAAAAGTAGCTGACGCAAAAGACAAGAGCGGGCGACAACAGATTGAGCTGCAGAGCCTCAAACGTATGTCTAGATGTATATATGTGGGTATATCTGTGGATCTTGTGATTTTTCAGTTCGCACGCGCGATAGTTGGTTATAAACAAAAAGCAAGAAATGTGCCACTGCGTAGAGAAATCGACTGATGTGTAAACAAACATTGGCGTCATTGCATAAAATGATATAAACAAATTATGTGGAAAAAAAGGTACAGCAATAAATATATGAAGAAGGTATAAACAACACTTAAAACTCAAATAAACAACAACAGAATTGTCGGAATTTCTAATACAATATGTTGTTGTTTTTTTTTGGGGGGGACCCTGCACTCTATCTAATCATTCGGCTTGTTTACTGATAAACATACCGCCAGGCTGCGAGCTACAGTAGCTGCCGTAGTAGCAGGGCAGACCCATAAATAATTGTTTGCATCTATGCTCAGAGTCTGACAACGAAATGTTTGCCCATTTCCAAACAAAGGCGGCTCATCAAAAGGGCATAACTCAGTCCAAATCCAATCAAATCGCGTGACCCCAAAACCCAACCCAACCCAACCCCGCCCACCCTTTTGAACCGCCCACCAACTGCGCATAGCTGGAGGCAAATGCGCAGTTTGACAAACAAAAAAAGCGAACTTCAGCCAGATGCGACATTAAATCAAATGTCGAAGTGACCCAGAAAGAAATACTCTCCGATGCGCAAGCTGAAATTTAATGCGACACTTATGGAATAGAAGAGAAAATATGCAAAAAGTATAGAGGAGAAGACTCAATACCCTTTCAAAAATATATACAGTATGGAATGTATATTATCATGGAATAGTACAGCAGATGTACGACAAAGTGAACCCCCTTTCAGTGTTACTCACAGCTGATGTACAAGTGATTGACTCTACTTCCAAGCAGATGTACAGCAGATGTAAGGTCATTTTTAGAAAGTAAAGAAAACATTGAATAGCCTATCAATCATGGTATAGAAAAGAAAAGATTGAGCAAACCTTTCAATATTACTTAGAGCTGATGTACAACTGATTGACTGCTCTTTGAAGCATATGTACATATAAAGAAGATTGAATGCACTTTCAATATGATGTACAACTGATGTACAACTATTATAGTAAAGTATTAAGACAATGATTGACGAAAAGGAAAATGATGTAGTTATGGTATGTAGAGAAAGATTGAATACCCTTCCAAAATAATATGCAGCTGCTGTAAGACAATAGTGCAGAGAAGAAGATTGAAAAAGCCTATCAAAATGACATGAATTATAATATAGAATAGAGAATATTATAGTATTAAACAGAGAAAGTGATTGACCGCACCTTCAAGCATATATAAAGTTGATGTACGATTATTATAGATAAGTGTAGGAAATATGGTTGTATACACTTTTAAGAAGATGAGCGGAAATTGGTTTTTAGTACACAAACAAAGATAAAGACCCCTTTTTAAAATATACACAGCAGATGTACGACAATCAATCAATCAAAATTAGTATAAAGAAGATTAAATAACCTTTTTATAATATCATAGAACAACCGTACATCAGCTGTTTATATTTTTGGAAAGATATTCAATCTTCTTCTCTATCACTTAAAATATTTCATATAATGTACATATGATGTACGAAAATGATGGAAGTGTTGTGAATAAGATTGAATGCCCTTTAATTATAGGGTACAGCAGATGTGCGATATATTCCTACAGCCGCAATGCGTACAGGGTATAATAAGCATACTTAAAATTGAATGCTATCGATCCACTTTCTACACACACACACCCACACACACACACACAACACACACACTGGGGGTATTACTGCTCGTAAAATCAAATTCAATTGCAAAGCTTTCGCCTGGGCATGACGCAAGCGTTGCGCCAGCTTTGATGTCTCCGTCCATGTTCGACACTTGTTCCGAGATTGAATATTACGAATTCTGGACTGTCAATGTGTGTGTGTGTGCGTGTGTGTGTGTGGCAAGCCTTTGGCAAGCTCTTTGTGTGCTCGGGCTTATCAGGTGATCGCAGATAAATGCGCCCAGGCAGGTTTCGCATGCGGGCATTATATAGAAGTATATGTATACTGGGATTATTTAATATATATACATATATATATATATGTATGTGAGTCCGACTGTCTGTCTTAACAGGCTAATAACTGGCATTTGAATGAGTTTTTTATTGTACATATATAAAATGCATATTTAATAACGCGTAATTTCAATTGATAATGCGTCGCAGTTGATATTTTTAGGCAATTCTTCTTGTTTTTTTTTTGCCTGAGCGTCGCATTTATTTTATCACTTTGTTTATCAGCCCCAAAAGCGAGTGCTCTCTGCATATTTGCGTATGTGTATTTATATATATATATATATATATATATATATATATATATGTATATATATGTATTTATGTCCATGTTCAAGTCCATGTCCATGTCCATGCTGTATGGCTCGGCCAGTGGGTCAGTCGTCAGTCGTCAATCTATGGTCAACATTGCCAGTCAATCAATCCGACTGCGGCAGCGACTGCGGCAGCGACTGAGGCAGCGACTGAGGCAGCGGCATCGTGACGAAGGCAATTTAAATATTCAGGCGTCGTAGTTGATTTGGCTGACAATTAAAGGCCGCACGAGCAATGCCCTCCTAGTAAAAATACTACTATTTACTATATATTTAAATATAGGGTATATATCTGCAGATGAAATTGTCTATTATTATTATCATTCAACAATTAGCTTGATTCCACGAATCCCAGACTAATGCTGCCTGAGGCGAACTCAAATTTTAGAAATTTATTTTGTTTTTCGCTTCACAAAGCTTCGAACTTAGTGAGAATCTGGCCAGGAATATAAGTATTATATAGTTTAAAGTCAAGGCATTATATCTAATATTCAATCTGAAGCTAACTTGAGCTTTGGAAAAATATTTAATTTTTCATCTTTGAACCGTAAACTCACTGCGCTACTCGAGGATCTGCCCAGAAAATTATTATATAGCTTATAATCGGGGCATTAAATCTTATATTAAATCTGAAGCTTAATCAAATCTTGGCAAAATATTTTGTTTTCCCTCCTCAAGGGAGGGAAAGTGCAAACTGCGTTAAGTATCTGCCCAGAAATAGTTTATATAGCCTAAGGTTATGATATATCAAGACACAAAAACTTATATTAAATCTGAAGGTAACTTAAATTTAAGCAAAATATTTTGTCTTTAGATCCCTTTACTGCACTAGGAAAAGCCCAGGAAAAACAAAAGATTAAAACTATGATATGATTATTAAATATTAATAAAAATCTGAAATTAACTTCAATTTGATTGAAGTCTGTTTCACTCTACCTTCAATTTTAGCAAAATATTTTGTTTTCATGGTCCTTTGAACCCTAAACTTAGTGTAAACTTAGTTCCTGGCCTAAGTAAGAACCTGTCAAGGATTCAAATTATATATCAAGGCATAGAATCGAGTTTCCTTCAAATAGAATGTGTACTGCATAACTATGTGGAATAATAAGAGTTATTATTTATATTCCTCTTTTCTATATATGTGTTATAGCAAAAAAGCCAGCTCCTCGACCTCCACTTCTACCCCTTGCCAAGGAACCTGCTCCTTGACCCCTGTCCCTGAGCTGTAAGCTGTTACAGTTGCAGGGGCTAAAAATATTTTATACCGCAGTTGGTTACTGGGCTCAGCTCTTGTTGTTGTTGTAGCTCTTGTTGTTGTTGTTGTTGTTGTTGTTGTTGTAGCTCTTGTTGTTGTTGTTGTTGTTGTTACAGCCTTCTGCTCGAATCACGCAGCGAGCGCGTGTCGCCCAACACGCTTACCTCCCCCCAACAGGGCGCACTCTCACCCATTTCCCCGCTCACGGTCACTCTCTCTCCCTCCCTCCCTCCCTCTCTCGCGCTCTCCCTCTCTCCCGCTCTCTTTCCCGCTCTCCCGCTCTGTAACCTTTTTTGCTGCCACCCTCTGTTAGCGCATTGGCATTTTGTTTACAAACAAATTGCCAGTTGCTGTGTTTGACCTGCGCAGTGCTCAACTTTCTGCACGCACACACATACATCTATAAAGTATATATATGTATATATATATGTTTATGCCATGCCCATACAATGAGTTTTCACTGCAATTATGTGTATGCCTATCCATGTGTGTGTGTGTGTAAGGTAACAACTTCCGTTTGGGGTAAAAGTAGGCCGCCCTCCCGAAAATAAACTTCTGCAGCTCTGCCTCTTTTTTTGTTGGGGTCACCTTAGCTATTTGTAGGCTTACTTATTTTGGATGCCTAAATTTGAGTAACCTTTCATTTTGGGCGATCGATTCGCTGCAAATAAACTAGGTGGGGGAGGGGGAGGGGGGAGGAGAGAAAGGGGGGGTTAGAGCTGCGCAGTTGAGCGACTGTCAATTGCAGCCAGAAGGGGTCTACCTGGGCGCAGGTCCCCCCCCTCCCTTTCGCTGATATGTGAAATTGTGACGTCATAAAGAAGTTGACATTTGAGCTGTAGAGATATCTATGACAGATACGGGGTCTAAGCGCGGTTTTTCCCTGCGCTGACGAAAATTCACTTTCGTTTCAGCCTTTTGTTGTTGATGTCATAAATTAGCTGGGAAATTGGCTGGGAAAAAAAGGATCTGCCTGACGTCGATGCCAGGCACCAGGAAAAGGCAAACGAAACCCAAAACAGAGCACTTGATGCCTTTGTTTGTTGTGCGTGTGTAAGTGTGTGTGTGACAGTGTGTGTGAGCGACTGACAGATACGCATAAGTACAGATACATTACACAGATACAATAATAAGTAAAAACATTGCAATTGGCTGTCTATACCGACTGTGGCATACTCTGTTAGCAGTTTTCCTAATGCTGACTGTCAAACTGTAATTCGAAGATAGTGACTTTCAAACTGTGACACAAGAAACTATATCATATGAGATGAAAGTTTCTTTTTGGTTCGATCTGTAAAGAAAATTCATGTAAAACCTAATTTAAATTTGGACTATGACTTTCAAACTGTGGAATATATGTACTTTCGGCCCTATGGCTCTACTTCGTTGGTAACTCTAAAACTGTAATGCGAAGACAGTGACTTTCAAACGGTTTCATATAAAAAAACTTAGCATTTGGTTGGGGAAAATCGGAAGGAAAGTGTATCATAAAAAACTGTCTAAGATATGTGTTGATTTTCGCTATTAACTCTAAAACTGTTATTTGAAGGCAATGAATTTCAAACCGTGACTTAAGTAAATATACAATTTGACCAAAACATTTTTGGCATGATTTGCAAAGAGTATTATATGTAACTCCCAAAATGTTGACTATGACTTTCAAACTGTGAAAGATATGGATTCCCGATATGTGCCCATATTATATTAGGCGTGGCTTAAAGTCTAAGGCATATATATTTACTTAGCTAAGAGAAAAGTCATGCTCAAAACCAATATACCCTTTTTGGCACTTTGTGAGCAGGGTATAAAAAGTCGCTGACTAACTTCCGAATAATTGTTTGTATATTACACAGGGGCATAGGGTCGGTCCGCAATGCGTGCCATTTTGCGATTAGCTGACACAAGAGTCGCCTGGACAGGGGCTACCTGTCATGATGTTGGTTTTGTTGTTGCGGTTGTTTGGCCCGCACAGGTAAGATGGTCAAACTGCCGCGTCAGTAGCGACTGCGCTAATGAAAGCAACTAATGCGCCCTAATGATGACTTAATTGTTGTTTAGCTGACTTTCTATGTCAAGCCCAAGGGTATAATCGTGGCACGACCGGGCGACAGCAGCCCATATAAGGCAAAGACGGGTTTAAAAATAATTTACAAAGGAATTGGAAAAACTAGCCAAAAGCTACACTCGACGGAAAACCCGAAGATGTGCAAGAGGAGGATGGAAGAGAATGGAAAAATACAAGTTATGCTGAAATCAAGTAAGAATCAATCCCAATGTCAACATTTAACATTAATGTTAAATTTTAAATGAGGTTTTTTTGTTTCTTCAAAAAAACAAGTTAATTGTGCTGTAAGTAATGCCTAAATCAAGTATGAATTATTCTTAATGTCAAAATTTAACATTAATGTTAAATTTTAAATAAGGTTTTTTGTTTCATTAAAAATATAAGCAAATTGTGCTGTGAAATGTGCCTAAATCAAGTAAGAATCAATCCCAATGGCAACATTTAACATTAATGTTAAATTTTAAATATGGTTTTTTGTTTCTTTAAAAATACAAATTAATTGTGCTGTCAAATGTGCCTAAGTCAAGTATGAATCAATCCCAATGTAAACATTTAACATTAATGTTAAATTTTAAATATAGGTTTTCAGTTTCTTCAAAAACAAAAGTCAATTGTGCTGCAAAATGTGCCTAAATCAATTATAAATCAATCTTAATGTCAACATTAAACATTAATGTTAAACTGCATTACAAGCAATTCATCATAATTTTTCTGAGTGTATTTGCATTTGCTGTTACCCTTTTTGTTAGCCAATTAAAGAGCTGCCCAGCGATGCCCAAAGCCAGATTCGGCTGCAACAGCGACTGCGGCTCGTTAGTTCAAGTCCAAGTCGTGCCTGGCTGGACCACGCCAAAATCTAGCTGGCAGATACAAAACGAGTACTCGAATCAACTCGAACATGCTCACAGATACACACACACACACACACACACACACTGGAGCACATCAGCTGTTCGCTGTTGATGTTTTTTGCGACTGGCCAGACTTGATTTATTGTCGACTCGCTCTAGCCCCAAACAGCCGATGCCCAGTGGAATATTATCCAAAAATCCATCGAAAAAATAAGAAGAAGAGAAAGACAAAAGACAATGAGACGTGCCTGCAAGACCTGTTCTGATGCTTATTGTGCACTTTTGCTGCATGATTCACTTCGACGGGGACCTGTGATTGGGTTCCTATACTCGTTCACCAAGCTAAAAGAGAGTATATAGGTTTTGCGACATGGCCAAAATGTGCAGGTTGTTTGTAGAAGAAGTTCCCGATACAATCAGCAGCAGAGGCTTTATGCACTCCTCGCAGCTTTAACTAGTTGCGAATTGTAAGCGTCAAGCAATAAAAACAGCAAATCAAGCTTTGCCTTTGTCGATCTATCTATTTATTTGAATTGTTATGATTTATTTTGAAATGTGAACGAAATCTTCTTTATCTTGGATTATATCTGTTATTAGGAAAATTTTCAATAAAAAATATTCTCTGACATCAAAAACATTTTTCATTTTATGGCAATTTTTGAACTGTAGCATTTTTTTTTTTTTTGAATTTTTTCTTTGAACTGCGAACGGGTATCACGCAGTCGGTTACACCCGACTGCAATATGTTAACTTGTATTTTTTTTTTTGTAATGTCTTCGTATTGCCCATTGCTGGGCCCTGGTACTGCCTGCATTGTGTGTACCCTCGTCAAGCGAAAAAAAAAGAAAAATTAAAAAGAAAGAAAAGGTTGCTTCAATAATTTCTTTTTGTACTTTGTTTTTGTTTTTTGCGGTTTTTAGACTGCCGACGCTGGCTTCTGAGGCTCTTTTGATGTGCGCTTAGGCATTTATTTTATTTACGACCCACACACACACACACACACACACGCGCACAAAAATCATGTACAAATTCTTGTCTTTACCTTGGCTTTCGTCCAACAGAAAAATGCCTAAAGCGTAAAAATATGTAAAAAAAAAAAAAAGAGAGATAAATAAATAGAAAACAGGTGACAGGTCGCTTTTTCGGCCGTGTTCATTAATTGCACAGATTTGCAGGAAACGCACGAAAAGCCGCAATTAAGATGCATATCCAAGCCAAGGTGGAAACAATAACAATTAAAAAAAAAAACTTAAATGCAATTTGTCATCAAGCCAAAAGTTGAGCAGCTGACCTGCAAATGGGATGCAGAGCCGAGGCAGAGTTCACGCAGTTGATTTCCCGCAACAATCTGATAACAATCTGGTGAAAAGCTGGAAAAACGTGATGCGCCTCTAATTTATGGCCAATCGAAATAAAAAATGCCTTGACAAAAAACAAAACAAAACGAGATTCGAGTCGAGGCGAGTCGAGAGATTCGCAGCTAAAGATATGCCCTGGCTTAGAGGGTATAGAACGCATACAGAGAACTTTTGCTGACAGGCTGGACAAGTTTCTGCGAACGTTTGCGCACAGGTCAGACAGAGAAGCACAAACACACACACACACACACAAGTAAACACACACATACACACACACACACACAGAGTGTGAACTCTGCAATCAGAAGTTTTTTTCGTATTCAACTTTTTCTATACATCTTTTTTTTTATTTAGCGCTTGGCTGCACTTTTTCTATGTAAATCGTGCTTGAAACAGATTTGTAATAAATACATACAGACATGTATGTGTGTGTGTGTGCATGTAAATTTCCTAAGAAACGGGCGCTCTTCCTCTTCTGCTGCTTGCATGCCATTTTTATGTTGACTTCCGCAAAGCATTTGCCTTTGCCTTTGCTTTTGCTTTTGCTTTTACCGTTGACTTTTTCTTGTGTTTGTATTTGTGACTTCATTTGTGGGCAGTGGTGAGGGGGGGGGGGGGGGGGGGTTAATTGTGAACTTACTTTGCTGCCTGCTGCTTTATTGATCGATCCACTGCAATTGAAGGCCTTTGGCTGCGCACACAACGAACATTCACGTTTTGGGAATATTATTCACAATTTTTTTTAGCTTAAATCAATTATGATGAGTTTTTATACACACACATATATGTACATATAGATATATAGTTTGTTGTGCAGAATGTAGCTGAGGGGGTTGAGTTTTTAGTGAAGTAGAAGCAAGACGAACAACACAAACTCCGTGACGTTAGCTAACGACGACTGACGGCGAGCGAATGAAGCCAAATCCAGAGGTCTCCCACCTGGACTGCTGGCTGGCTGGCTGGCTGATTGGCTGGTGGTGTTGGTGGTGTTGGTGGCTTCTACAGCTGGGCTCGACACAGTTACCCTGTTTTGGCTGCCCAACTGCACAACACAACAAACGCTGCTGCGCCTGTGCGCGACAGATACTCACGACTGTGTATACCCTAACCCAAAAATGTTGAGCCTACTTAAATTGCCTAGATAGAATAATGAATCATCAATCATATTGGAATATCCTTACATTAGCCAAAAGTATTTTAATTTTACAATTATAAATGAACAAGAGGGGGAACTGCTAACTTTGACACGCCGAAAGTTAGACACCCTTATGGACATATGGCTTATCTAAGATATCTGGAAAAATATAAAACTTTTCCATACAAAAACTAATTTTTAAACTAATTTGTTCCTACAAGAAATACATGATATGGTTAATCCAATGTAGATAAGATTTGCCTCACGTTTAAACTCATTAATGACAAGTTTAATAAGGATTTTTTGAAAAATAAAAGAGAATAAGAGAGCGATCATTCCAAGAACAGCTATATAATATAACGGTTCGATTTGGCCTGCAAAAAAAACGTAATCATACAAAGTTTCATGACAACAGCTTTGAATAGAAGAAACTAGTTTGCAGAGAAACAGACAGATGAATATGGAGTCGACATGACTCGGATGTTGATCAGGACTATAAACACTTTACAGAGTCAGAGTTATCTATATGTAAACGTTACACACTTCATGACAAATTTGTAATGCACTCTAAAAAGTACAAAAGATTCTTCTCTTCTCGTAATCAAATAAAACATATTTGTTTATAAATAAAATATACTTGTGTATACAAAATTAATGCAATTTGGGTCGAATATCATTCAATTCAAATCCCAACAATTTTCCCCAATTCACATTCATACATCAAAAATACATTTGATTTTGTTTATAACCAAGGGTATTGCGTCTTCGTTTTGCCACTAAAATAAACGGAAATTGTGTTCTCTTCTTCTCTCTCTCGCTCTCGCTCTCTCTCCGTCGGGTGGCTCTCTCGCAGCAGGCAGCATTAGCAGCTGACTTTTGTTTGTACACAAAAATCATATTGCATCGATGAGCGAGAATGAGAGTGAGAAACTGGTTTTGTGCAGACCGATATTATTACGACTGGAGGGTATATAGGCAAAAAATTTGTAAACTCCAAGGTTTCGACAAAAATCTTTCTTTTTTCATAAATCAAAAGTTTGTTGGTTTAAAAGTAAAGTCGTCCAATGCTTTGTCAACAGAGATTTGGATCAGGGATTTCGGATTTCGTAGATTTTGCATTCAAATTGGCTTTCTAGCTTATTTTTATAAACTCTTTTAATTTGAACTTAACAGTCGCGCACATTTGACTCAACAGAGAACACGACTCTGTTAGCTCAGTTGTGCGTCTGGTAATATGAATTTGCGTCGCGTGAAGTTGGCTGCAACTAGTGTTATCGATATCTATCGCACTCTCGCGCTATCGGCAGCAGTTGCACGTGTTGACATATTTGCAACGCAAATTGAATATATCCAACTGATCCATATTATATAGAAAAATGGGTCGCTCGAATCGGTCGCGGAAACGCCGCGATGAAATGAACAAAATCAAGAAGGACCGCTACGATGCCAAGGAGCTAATACGCCTGAAGAAGACGCTGGGTCTCTTGGACGCCGACGGCAAGGAGATCAAAATGGAAATTGGCGAAGTGGCCGAAATCAAGACGTCCAAGGAGATTAAGAGGGTGAGGGAGAGGCAGTGAAGTCATTTTTATAAATATCCACTAAAATCTAAACAACACAGGCAGCCAAATCGAAAGAGCAGCAGGAGCTGATCTACGAGCATCAGGAGAGCCTGGAGAAGGGCAAAGAGATTCCACAGGTCAACGAGAAGACGGGCGTGGAGCACGTCTACAATAGCAAAACCCTGAAGGATCAGTTCGGCAACTATCCGGCGTGGTTCAAAAAGAAGAAGACCGCCAAGCGTCTACGCAAGAAGCAGCACGCACAAAAGAAAAACTTCAAGCAGGCCTGGACCACGGTCAACGTGCCGCTCTAGAGGAATGATCCAACTGCCACGCCCACGCACACGCCTAGTTGTTAAGCATATGCATATAGTTTAAGATTTGTAACAGATACAAAAACCAATCCACAAACACTTAACTGTTAGCAATATGAGTTTGTATTGCGCATTAAAGCCTTAAAATTAAACACAAATCGTAAAAGTTAGTCAATTATAGATACTTTACATATTATATATATATATATTTGCAAATGAGTCGTTCGTTTGGAAAAGAAGAATGTGCAGGAAGCTTGTTCCACAATGGCCGGGTGAAATTGCCGAAAAGGATGAAACATGAAACAATTTGAAAATAAGTTTGAAGTCAATCGGTCGAAAATTGAAACGTCACCCAAAGAAACGAGCTATTTTTCAGCTAAGCGGAATGCACTTTGCGTGCATTAAATTTTAAACATGAATTATCATAAAGGTCTCTGGAAAATGGGTTTGATTAGAAACTACGCCCAGCAAATCTTTGAGGACCATTTCCAGCAGGAAAGGTTGGGATTTTCGAAAATGAATTTGAGCAAAGAACTGAAAATGTGGCTAGGCTAGAGTATATAAGGTAGCTACAGTAAAGGGCTGATAAGTCAGTCAGTCAATCAGTTAGTCAGTCAGTCAGTCATTCAATCAGTCAGTCAGTCAATCAGTCAGTCGAGTCGAGACAAACAGTTTTATATAGATAAAAGCTACTTGGCAACTGCCTTGGCGAAAACAACAAATATCTACGCTTAAACTAATTTAAGATTGGAGGAGAGAGAGGGGCAGAGAAAAGGATTTGAGGAATGCAAATCCGCAGCGTCTGCTGCATTGCACAGTTAATCACCAGTTGGAGACGATCAAAGATTAGATTTGCCGCCCTTAAACTTTACTGCAGGGAGCAATAGCTGCGCACGCTGCAGATGACGCCCGTGGTGGCCGCCTCGAGGCGGCGCGTATTTGCTGTCCACATGTGCGCTGTGGCCAGGGCGCGAGGTCATTCGGATTTCTCGGCCAGCTGCAGGGTTTCCTGCTGCGCCTGCTGCTCCTCAATGTTGCCCTGCAGCAGGACATTCGGATTGCTTTTGAGCACAGAGCCGCCGGTGAAGCCGAGTATGCCGCAGCCAACGGCAGCCAGGCCGCCGGCTTTGATGCCCGCGACCAGGCCAATGGGTCCGCCCACGCAGGTGCCCAGCAGTGCGCCGACCATCGGATACATGGCCTTCTTGTACTTGAGTGCGCTGCGCAGATGTCCTTCGCCGGCCTGGACATTCTCGAGCGCCTCCTCCGCGTTGTCCGCAATGGCCTGCACGCTGGCCGACTGCTCCTGGGTCAGCTGCCGCAGGCCATGGAACATGCCATCCAGATCGTAGATTTCATTCTGCAGTCGCTCCATTTGATCCAGGCACGCCTGCCGCTGCGCCAGCTGGTGCTGCTCCAGCTGAAAGTTCGTCTGCAGCTGCGGCAGCGCGTGCTGCAGCGCGGGCACCTGCTCAATGTCCACCACGGCCTGATTGTCCCGATCCTCCTCGTCGTATTGCGTCGAGCTGGGCGACTTTAGCTGCAGTTCTGCATGGCATTCGTTAGACTACAGTAGAGACTAGGCTTGAGCGGACTTACCTGCAAACTTCTTCATGCCCTCGAAGGCCTTGTCCTTGCCCGGCTTCATCAGCTGATCGAAACGCGCCTGATCCTCGGGCCGCAGCTTGTCGCGCAGCGCGTCCATCTCCAGCAGCAGATTCTTCATCTGTTTGATGACACGCATCGCATTGAGCTCCTCCTTTTTGATCTTCTGCCAGTCGCAGAGGGCCAAGCTCTTCTCAATGTTGCTGCGATGATTCTCCAGCAGGCTCAAATGATGCGGCACGGCCATGTCCTGGAAGCGCTGCACCGACACCTCGGCCTGCTTCAGCGCCAGCCTCGTATCGTCCGTCATCTTTGCACTTTGTACTTTTCTTAATTAAATTCTCAATGGAGCTCTGAATTAACTGCGGGCGGGCGGGCGGGCGATACCCACATCCAGTCTCAACGAGGAACTGCTCAATATCTGCTTTGTGGTTCGAATTATTTACTTGCTATGTCACGCAGCTTCATTTGTGGTTAACAAATATTACTAATGCATTTTTTAAATTGCGTTCGACACTGATTACACTTTCTTTTGTTTTGGTTCAATTAAAATTTCAGCTGTTTTCGTATTTGATAATTCTCGCAAAGTGCAAAAATGCAGGTAACGTTTGTGCGCATTTCTCTACACACACTGTGATCTCACATTACGAATTGCCATAATTGGTATGTATTGTGAAATGTTTATCACGATTACCTATTTGTTTATAAAACATTATTAATATGAGCAATTTTAAAATTTAAACAATTGTTATTTTGTCATTTACTTGAATGCACGCACCAACTTGCCGCGCTACCTCATCACGCCACGCACTATGATTGGCAACTGGCGCTGCCAACGCGCTCAACTGAAGTGCGCTCACTTTGAATTGTTGCCAGCTGGCTGCACTGTTAGCTGCTCTGCTCTTTAGCGCGCTCACATGGCAATGTTATCAGCTGGCATGTAAATTGCGCTGTACTGTTAACTGCGCTGTGCTGTTAATTCCGCTGGTCTGTTAATTGCGCTGTACTGTTAATTGCGCTATGCTGTTAACTGCTCTTTTCACTAGCGCGCCAAATTCAAATTGTGAAGAATGCGCAAATGTATTTAGCGCCACTTTCTTATATATAGACAAATACATATATATTTTATTATATACAAATACTAGACACATAGCAGATTACAACTAGAGCATTGGATTTTAATACATACATTTATGACACGTGCGCTTAAGTACTAAATGATTTTTTTTTACTCTTTCTTTTTGTTTTTATGCTTTTCTAAACTACGGAGGCACTTGCGTTCGGGAATGGCTTACAAGCAGGATGGGCTACAGTTACACAAACGAAATAGATAAGTTTCTTTAGCTTAAACTAAACCATTTAATTTCTAGCGTAATCAAATGCAGTTCTGTGTTGCCGTAAATTAGGGGCAATCGGCATTGGGGCCATTTCGGCACTTCATCAGCAAATTGAGCATGCTCTCCAGCTTGTTGGTGCGCGACTCTGTCTTGTAGAGATTCGTCTGCATGCGATTCACATCCAGCGCCTGCTTCTCCTGCAACAAACAAATGTTAGTTCGATTCCAATTGGAATGCCAAATTGGGGGCACTTACGAGTGTGCTGAGCCTGCTCCGCAGGGTGTCCACCACGCTGTAGGTGGCCTGCAGCGACTTTTGCAGCTCGTTCGTGTGCACTCGCTCGTTGGCCAGCGACCGTTCGATCTTCTGCAGTCGCGTGGCCACCGCCGCCGCCGCCGCCGCCTCCGTATCATCATCGATGTCGTTCTCCAGATCCCGCGCCTCGAATGCATCGTCCGCATGGGTTGAAATCTTGCGGCAGCTCTGCTGATCCGGCTGCAGAACGAAGCCGTGCCGGCAGCGACAATAGTAGGAGCCGTGCGTATTGACGCACTGCTGATCGCACGGCTTCTCCGTCTGGCACTCGTTCACGTCCAGCTCGCAATAGCGACCGCTAAAACCCGCCGGACAGCTGCACAGCTGCGGCGCCGTGCAGTTGCCGCCGTTCTGGCAGCGCGTGCTGCAAAGGGCTGCAAACGAAAAGGAGGAATAGTTAAAAAGTTACCTTTATTTAAAGGGTATTTACGTTTCATGCACGCATCCGCGCGCTGCGTCTCCCTCGTCCAGCCCGTGCAGCAATCGTAGGTCATCTGCTGTGCCGGCTTATGCTTGATCACATCCCGGTACGCCTGCTCGTGCACCAGCTGCACCCGGGTGCACATCTGGCCAACATGCGTCGGCGGCTGACATTGCACGCTCACGTGCTTCCAGGTGGGTCGCGTATACACCTCCGTTGTCTTCACCGGCATCGTGATCGTGCGCTGCTGCACGCAAATGTGTCGCCTGTCGAACGAAAGAAAAGTGAAATTGATAACTTTTCCAGACTTTGGCCAATTAATGTCATAATAAACTGGCCAACAGGTTGGCCAGCGCCCAACTCCAACTCCAACTCCAACTGGACGTTTGTCGCAAATGTCAACCCGACTGTCATTAAATCGTGTTCAACTCTCGTCACGTCTCTCTCTCTCTCTCTCTCTCTGTCTCTCTCTCTGTCGCCAAATCAGCGATGAAAACTTGACATTTTTCCACAGCGCAAAAATACAATTTTCGACACGGCATTCAAATGCGGTGGAACATTATTTTTATCAGCCAATAAATTGTTTTAAGAGGCTTTACACAAGCCTTTTAAGCAAAGATCTTACTTAAGATATCTGCTAACTTTGATAGCTTTGCTAACTTCCAATCAAAAAGGACAGTATATTATTAATTTAATATCTACTACAATATTTATATCTCAAGATATTTCATATCGTAAGCCTTTTAGGCAAACAGCGTACTTAAATTATCTGCTGACTTTGCTAGCTTTGCTAACTTTTGGCATAAATACTTTTGCGACACGGAATACGAATGCAATAGGGCCGTATTTTTAATTGTTTTTAAATTATTTCATCCCTCAAGACATTTTACATTCCTTTTGAAATACATAGCGCATTGAAATTCTCAGCTGACTTTGCTAGCTTTGCTAACTTCATGTTAAATAAGCTTAAAGTTGGCCGCTGACTTGGCTAACTTTTTTTTTCATAAGCAACAGCAAAATGCATTGTCAAATATGTAAAAGATGTGTGACTGTCAAACTGTATATATCTGAGGCACAAGCAGAGACGACAATGTCTGCTAGAAAGTTAGCAAGGCTATCATTTTATAAGAATTTGCTTTATCTTGCAATCAATCTATCCGTAATATTATATATAAGTTTATAGCAGTTGCTGTCAAACTGTATGCACGTGAGGACATCTAGAACCGACGGCATTTGCTAGAAAGTAGCCAAAGCTAGCAAGCCAGCAAGCTACAAGCATTATAGTTTTAACTTTGCAATCAAACTTTCGCAAAACTTTGTGAATCTTATGTTTATGGCAGTGCCTGTCAAACTGCATGCCTGTAACTAGCAACGAAAGCTGATTAAAGTGAACTCTAATGTATGTGCTTGCTAAACAGTTAGCAAATCTAGCAGTTCACAAGTATATTGTTTATTTTTGCTGTCAATTTTTCTGAAAATTGTGTGAATATCTTTTATAACAGTGACCCTCAAACTGTATGTATGTAAGGACAACGAGAAACGACAGCTGATAGCTGTAGACTGTACTGTATGTGTCTGCTAAAAAGTAAGCAAAGCTCGCAAGCTGCAAGCTGCAAGTATTTCAATTTTACGCTGAAATGTGTGTAAATATTATTTTTATAGCGATGGCTGTCAAACTGTATGTCTAAACCACAGCTGACAGTAGTAGAAAAGCTAGCAAGCTAATACTATACTTTATACCATATAAAATACTAGAAGTATTTCAAGCTTTCGCTAGAATATATGTGAATATTATTCTTATAACAGTTGCTGTCAAACTGTATGTCTATAAGGACAACAAGAAGCGACAGCTAACAGTATTAGTAGATAATGTATCTAAAACCTATGTATAAAGTTAGCAAAGCGAGCAAGTTAATACTACATTATACTATATAAAATACTAGAAGTAGTTCAGAACAGTTGCTGTCAAACTGTATGTACATAAGGACAGCTAGAAACTAGCTAGAAACAGCTAACATTAGTAGAACCTAATGTATCCTCCATAAAGTTAGCAAAGCTAGCAAGGTAATACTACAGTATAGTATATATAATACTACAAGTATTTCAATCATTATTTTTAAAACAGTTGCTGTCAAACTGTATGTCCATAAGGACAGCTAGAAACCAGCTAGAAACAGAGAACAATAGTAGAACCTAATGTAGCTATATAAAATACTAAAATTATTTCAATTTTACGCTAAAATGTGTGTGAATATTATTTTTATTTGCGATAGCTGTCAAACTGTAAATCTGTTAACACAACCAGAGACCTTTTGGCCGCAAGGCAAGCTGGCCAACACATAAATGCTGATAATAAGCGGTTTTTGAATTTGTTTTTTCTCCTCTTTTGTTTTGGGTATATTTTTGCGATTTTCGAACTGCCAAAAAGTCAAGACAATAAAAGAAGCAAACTGGCCGCTCGCATCCATAAATTGCAAGTAGCTCGACTGACAGGGGGGGCGAGGGTAGGTGGGCAGTTGCTGCTGCGGCTGCTGCTGGTGGCTGGTGTCGTAATTGGCAATGCGGGCCAAAGCCAAACAATTGCAGGCGCGTGATGCGGTCACCGACTGACTGACTGACTGACTCTCGACTACCGTCGGCAGTTGGAGATCAAGTTGGAGCTGCAGTTGGAGCTGGAGCTGCAGTTGGGAGCCGGTGCCTGCAGCTGGACGTGAACCGTTGCACACAAAATTTGCGAGCTGACTTCGGGCCATATAAAAGCTCGGTCTTCGCGGCCGTAGCTGGCCATTTGGGACATTTAACAATTTCTTTATTTGCTGCACATGCATATTTATGTGTGCTGCTGCTGCTGCTGCTGCCGCCTTGCACCATAATTCTCACGTTATTTATATGCAACATGGTGCAAGGCAGAATTAAGGGCGCCAGCAGCGGCAACAAAATGCGGAAGTTTTTCGTTGTTCCAAGAAGAAACTGTGCCAACAAAGTGCAGCATGAAATGCCCCTCCTCCCCCTCCCCTTTCCTGACCCCTGCCCCTTGCTGCATGCGTTCCCATTCCGACGGAATGCATAAATCTTTGCCGGATCCGGCGGCTGCCTGCTGCGACCAGACAGTCTGCCCGAATGGCTTCATTGCCTTTGTTTAGAAACGTTTAGACTTAAATTTAATTTACATTTTTAATTGTTCCAACGCCCGAACACCTGTGGCTTTGACTAAATCACCTCCTACCCCTCCCCCTACCCCCACAACACACACACACCTGAAGAAAACCTGACCCGAAAATAAGCGAGACAATGTGCCACAAGGAGAGCTGTTGCTGCTGCCGCTGCTGGTTGATTGTATGTATGCCCATTGAAAAGGGCTAAAAATGGGCATATTGGTTGTGTGGAAATGCATGTAACAGGTGGAAGGAAGCAGTTAAAAGCCTATAAGGTATATAGATTGTGGATCAGGAGAATGAACTGAGTCGATTTAGATAGAGACTAAAGAAGATATATTCTTATGTATTGTGCGTGGAATAAGTTTTCAAGAGAACGAGTGATATATACGAAAAGAAAGAGAGGAGAATAAAATTATAAGTTTTTGTGGATATCTCTTTCTTGGCACTCCAAGTCAAAGACAAGCAGAGATAGCGAGAGAGACAGTAAAAGAGAGTAAGAAAGAGGGAACGAGTATAGGAAAAATATATATATACAAAAGCTCAAAAACTAATTCTACGTATAATACAATATATCATAACAATATATCTACAAATTTGTAGGTCTCTATCTGAAACGACTATAAAAAAAAGGAGTAGAATATCTTATAAGTTTCAAATATATATATAAGTTATAAGTTGGATATATCCTTTCATTTCCCTTATACAGATTGAAAGTCTTGGTTATTTAAGCATAACTCGAGGATTATTAGGTTGTAGTTTTTCCTAGAGTATATACAGATTAAAACTATTTCACATTTTCAATATCTATACCCATTTTCCCAAAAAATGTTAAAATAAAGCCCAGATAAGGCAAAGCCCTGCACTTTGCTATACATTCATATTTGTATACCTTTTTTAAGCACTCAAAACTTCATAAAGATCGGACAATTAGCACCGAAGTTACTCCAGAATGCATTTCCCATAAAGAAAGTGAGGCTAAGCAAAGAAACTTAAATGTTTGTCTCGGGCTACAGGGTATCTCCCAGTCGAGCACTCTCGCGCACAGCATGTTTATATAAGCAGCTGCTGTGCTCAGCTAAAGTGTCCAATTTTTCGGACAGCTTTTGGGCAAAAAAAATTATAAAAACATCAATCAAAATTGATATTTCACATGAAATTGTATTGCAGGCCAATTAATCAAAAGAAAAAATACAAATTTAAAACTGTTAAATTTTACAAGAAAACGCAACGGACCAAACTTGGCTGCTGCTGCTTCCTCTTGCTCCCTCGAAAGTCGGAGAAAGAGGCGAACATGAGCCAAGTTCTTCTTTTTGTTTTTTTTTTTTGGGTCTGAACTCTGAGTGCAGCTTATTGATTTACGATTTAGTTTTATTGAACGTCGAGGCAGAAATTGATGAGACTCGGCGACGCATTTTTCTGACTCAGCGCCAGGCCAAAAGGTGAACCGGCGGGTGTGCGAGTGTGTGTGTGTGTGTGTGCGTGTGTGTGTGTGTGTGGGCGTTGTCTTAATGGACTGAGGCATCCGAGTTAATAAATGGCTGGTTCACGTTTCCATTTCATCTGGAATTGTATCAATTTTTCACCAGCGCAACCTTTAGATATGATAATTATTTCTGATTAATTATTATTGTTGTGGCTAGAAAAATGTTTATATGCTTGATACCGATAATGCAAAGGGGAATTTAAAAGTGAAATAGTCGACTTGGGTTTACCCTGGAAACAGGCCTCCATTGGCGTTGCACTCATTTGTATTCAATTATAGACACACATAAAAATAAAGTAAAGGGAGGGAGAAAGAGACAGAACAAGGGAAAGACCTGTAAAAACACCAAGTTTTGTAGGCCTTATCTGAACTAATGAAAATCGCATAGAGAGGCTGTATTTATAATATGAAAAGAGCGACGGGATAAAGGGAGTATTGTAAGATAGAATGAGAGAGGGAGAGAGAGAGCGAAAGAGAGAGAGTAAGACGGAGAGAGAGAGAGAGGGAGAGAATGAGAGAGAGAGAGAGAGAGAGAGAGAGAGAAAGAGAGAGAGAGAACGAGCGAGCGAGAGAAAGGGAGAAAGAGAAAGAGAGAGTGAGAGAGAAAGAGAGATATAGATAAAGA